TTTCATTAATTTAATATTTTTTTATCGATTTAATTTATATTAAATTTAAATGTTATTTTATAGAACATACGAAGATGAAGCTAAATGACATTTTAATCATCGAATTGGTTTTGATCTAATTTTAGACTTTCAGACTTTAACATTTTAATCAAAATTTAAAATATAATAACAAAAAAAAATAAAAAATTTAATCACATCTTAATTAAATTTCGCAATATTAATAAAATAACAATATATAAATAAAATAAATAAATAAGGGAAGTCGCATACAATGTACGCAACTTCAAAAAATAAAAAAATAAAAAGGTGAAAGTCGCGTAAAATTTACGCGACTTCCGCCTAGTCCCCTGTCATGTCAAATATACACATTTGCACGGAAATCGTAGATATTGTACGCGAGTTTTGACTTTTATTTTGACCTAACCTATTTTTGTCAATATTTTTGAAAACCTAACCTATATTTGATTTTATTTATTTAAATTACATTTATTTTACAGTTATTTTTAAACTAACATTATTTCTTGTAATTTATTTTTAAAACTACATTATTTTAAAACTTTGTCCGTGAGATCTGTGGGCAAACAATTTCTTCCAAATGAAGGGTGAAAATTAAGAGAGGTGGTGACGTTAGAATATTGTTAAACCACAATTTTACAAAAGACATTTCCTTTTTTTATTTATTTATTTTTTTTACATGCTTTAGAGATTCAATCATTTAGGTCAACATCATATGGAAGGACCATTTTTTATTTTTTATTTTTTGTAAGAAGATGATAATTTCACCATTGAAGGCATGACATTGAAAGAATGCCCACTACCAATCTCTTTGTCTCACCTTCTAACTACATCTCATACTAGGCTTGATATGAAATCTAGTTTCCATCTTTCAATAAATGAGATGATGGTGAGAGTTGAAAGAGATGTAAGATGAATAATAAGGCGCTAAAAATCAATCATTTGTTAACTAATTAGAAGTCGATAGTTAAAACTAAAAGTATGTTTGAGAGTGCGTTTTTACGAAACACTTTTTTTTAACAAAAACAACAGTATTTTGAAAAAGAAGTACTTAAAAGAAACTTTATAGTGCTTTTAAATATTTTTTTTAGTACCAACATGTGAAGTGAGAGATCGAACTCACAATCTCTTAGTTGGAGATATATGCCAACTATCACTAAGCTATACTCGCTTTGACATCTCTACTTTTAAGTTTTTCTAGTCATGCTCGAGGGTAAAAAGCACATTACAAATATTTTTTGGCAAAGAACTTTTTGTTTTTTTAATTGAGCATTTTTAAGTTACTTCCAAAACATGATGATTTTGGATGGGAAATGCTAACCATGGCAAGCAAAATTACTCTTCAAACTTACATTTAAGCTAGTGTTATTTTTTTGATTGCCAAAAGTACTTCTCCCTTCAAAATCAAAATTTGATGTTTAACTCGTTATTAAACAATTTGGTGCTTATGGGTGCGAAATTAGGTGCTCCAGACCATTTTTTCTTCCACAGTTATGTCAATTTAATTAAAACCAAACATATAACAGAACAGAAATATAAGAAAAACAATAAACGACATAACAGATTTATACTGGTTCACTCTAATTGGCTACGTCCAGTCTTCCGTTCAAATGCGGGTTCTACTAATAATCAGATTTGGATACAAGCACTCACAATGTTTCACCCAGATATTCACCCTCTAAAGGTCCGAACAACCCTCTAGCTTCGAAGTATTTAACATTATACTTAGGTATAGGAATGAAAGAACTCACAAAGAATCAAGATCCAATTACCTCGAATACGTCGATCTTGATCTGCCCAAACTATGTTGCCAATACCTCGAGCCACTGCCTCAAAATTGCCACAATATCCCTCTGAAAATCAGTTAGAAAAATTAATCCCACGTCTACCTCAACTCTAAACTAAAACGATGGTTTTATAATAATCTACATCGCAATGTTGAGATGTTGTCAACGCGCGCCTCCTCACTGCAACATTGACGCTCCGAACCCAACAACGTGATCCTCCTGCTTTCGCAGTGATAGAGCGTCTCAACACTGTCTCCTCGATCGGTGTGCTCACGCAGGTCACATGCATTTTTCATTCCTTCTCCATCCAACTGTGGTTTGGCTCCACCAATCCAAACACATACTTTATAAATAATTGATATTAGACATATAATCTGTTTTTTTAGTTAAAAAATTACGAAGGTGGGAGGATAGAACTATCAATTTTTAGGATGGTAATTGATGTCTTATTTCCCCGATATGCTATCGGATTAGGTAGATATGATTATCTTTTAAACATATATAATAAAATTAGTGATTGATAGCTAATTGACTTACTTAAACATTTGTCAACCAATGACACTATTGATATATGATATATTTAAGTATTATATTTACCTTAAACGTAGTCCTGTAGTTGATATATGTGGTATTTTCTAAGGACAAAAAGGTGTATTTAGTTGGTGATTTGAAAAAAAAAACAAAAAGCTAATGAAAATTAGAGTTTGTATTTCATGTTTTCACTCTATTTTCCAATATGTACTTGGCCTAGATTCAAGAGATCTCTTATTTTAAAAATTTGTTGAAATTGTATTTGGTACTTTACTCAAACAAATGGGAAAACACTCCTGTGGGACTACCATAGTAATATAAATACTACCTCCCATTCATTGTTAACCATATTAGTAATATTTAAAAATGACGTCGGATCTAGAGTCATTAAAAAAATATTATTTAAAATTCAGTATTCTTTAAATTTTAGAGACTTACTCGATACAAAATTCAAAGTTTTTAGACACACTTTTTAAAATTTAGGCTCGAGTATCTAGGCAAGTACATTGTGTCCACGTCGGCAAAGGTTTAACATATTAATGGCTCACAAGTCACACTCTTGGTTGAATTCCGAAGGATACAATTCTTGTACATGTTTGTCAAAGTTTGATGACTTACAATTTGTCTTTACCATCCACACCCATAGCCAAGTTTTTAGACAATTAATTCTTTTTTTGCCCAAAACCATGTTCTTTGATCGTGAATAAAAAACAATTGACAAGATAGATTTTAAAAATTAATAATAAATTTAGAAATTAAACAAAGGAAAATAAAATTTGCCTCTACATTAGTTCTTTTTTATTGGTGTAGTTTATATTTAGCAAGATTTTCGATATCGATGTTGTTGAAAAATGTGAAGTCTTAATTTTATAGAAATGTTCGAGAAAAATATCCATAAAATAATGTCGATTGATATTTCTGGAAAAATTAGAAAAATTAATAACAAATATTAAAATTAACAAATAATTAGCCTTTAATTCTTTTTAAAAATTTGTTGATATTTGTTGATATTTTGTTTTTGTGATACTAGGCAAATATTGATGTCGAACTTGTAGACATATGGATATGGTGATGGAAATATCGACAATTGACATGTTGACAGAAATTTAATACCTTAATATTTAGGACTTGAAATAAAAATGGAGTTTACTTATTTACTAAAATATATGTTAAATTACAAGTTTATTGCTATAAATTTGATAGTTGTCTTCGATTTTTAAGTTTGAATTACTTCCATTTTGATTCTCTATTATTTTAAATATTAGCATCGTGTATTGATTAGACTAATAAACAATGATTCAACTTAAAATTATCATAAAAGAGTAGGCCAAATGGACAAAATAAGTGTGGGTAAACAAAAGTTTTGATGGGGTAGATCAAAATCGAAATATATTGGGAAAATTGACAAAATAAGCTTCCTGCTAGGTCCTAAGTTTTTTAATCGCTCTCCTCAAAACACAAAGTTTTCTAGTCATTACTGACATCACCTACCTTGTCAAATGACCTCCCATGTCCCTCCTTTTTTAGTTTTCGTCCCTTTTAGGTTTTCCTCCCTTATTTCTCTTTTTCTTTATTTCTTCTCTCTACCTCCATCTTCCTCTTTTTCCAGATTTTTTCTTCTCTCTTTCTCTTTTCCATGTCTTCCACAAGCATGAGTTTTTTCTTGTTTACTCTACCATAAAAAAAAAAGCCTAAATCTCTCACCATTTTTTAAATAGCAGCCTTCATAATTCCTGTGACCTTCAACAATCGCCGGCGACGGATGCATCAAAACCGACGAGGGAGGTCGTTCGTCAAAGAAAGAGGCTCAGGAGAAGAAGAAAGTTACGATGGGATGGGGAAGGAGGAGAGAGAGAGAGTTGAATGAGAGAAAGTTGAGAGAGAGAATTGAGCGAGAGAGAGAAAATTGAGCGAGAGAGAGAAAACGAGAGATGAGTGAGCGAGAGCGAGATTGAGCGAGAAACGATTTTAAAAATTGGAATAGGGAGAAACGAAATCTCAAATTTAAAATACTAAACATTGAAGATTTTTTTAACTAAAATTTAAAATTATAATTTACTAATTTTACTATATTCAAATTTGAAATTTAATTTAGATTTGTTTTCTTAATTGTTTTTTTCCTCTTTAATTATTTGAACTGAGAAATTAACATAAATCTCTCATTTAATATCTCCCCTAGTTTTGATTAGGATTAGAATTCAAATTTATAATTTAATTAGGTAGTCCTCCTTTTAATCGTGGAAGTATAAAAAAAATCATGTTTTTTCCTTAATCTCTTTCTATAAATCTGCTCCTTTGATCCTAAATTTAAAATTTAATTTAACTCAATTGTGTGGAGTAAAGAAAAAAAAAAGATTGGACCACTGTATCACGTTGTTATATTTGTAATTAACTATTAATCTTTTTTTTTTTTTCTATATTTGATCTAAATTCAACCGAATCCAAACTGAGAGATGAGATTTTTTGAACAATCGTTATCATATCACGTGTATTACACCCTCTACAAAAGATAAGGATTATTGTTACCATCCTTATCTTTTAAGAGGATTAGGTCTTGGAACCATGAGGATGCTTTTGTCTTCTTCTTTATTTTATTTTATATTTTTTTTTTAATTTCTTAAATGTGTTTTTTAAGATATAACATCAAAAGATATCACAAACTTTATGGATCTCAAAATACGTTGCACTTTCTAAGAAAATTTCGACGTCGTCGATTCTAAAATTTCAGAACCGACGAATCCATCGGTCGCCCCCCCTCTGTTCTCACTCTCCCTCGCCAGTAGCTGTGCCGCCCCTCCCCCGTCTGCTCTCATTCTCCCTCGCTGGTCGCCCCTACTCTCTCGACTCCCTCGCTGCACCGCCCCTCCCTCCCTCTACTCTCATTCTCCCTCACTGCAACTGCGCCGCGTGCCGCCACCCCCTCCCCCTCAAAATATTAACGGTATTAAAAAAGTGAAAGTCAGTTAAACCGGCCGACCAACCGATCGGTTCTGTCGGTCGGCGCCCAACAGCAGAGGAAAACCGTCGGGTTCGACGTCGGAATTGGCAAAAAACTGACTCCGACCGCCCGATGATCCAGCCCAATCACAGAATAGATAATGAAGATGTGATTATATCATGAGCGTATATTGTATTGGTAATGTAGATCACCTGAAGTAGATATTGGTTGGACAGGTAGAGGAATAATATAGGGGCAGAGATTTACGAACTCACGGCCTAGTCGGATTTGTTTTCTGCAACACTGAAGTAAATTAAAATAGAAGTTTCGACAAAAGGAACAAAATTATTAATCTTCTTTTTGAAGTGTAAAACTCAAAATACCAATAGGAAATGAACTCCAAAGTAACAAAAAAGAATCGCATCGACATGGCTAATTACGAGTAAGAAAAAGGAGAGAATCTGGACAATCTGTAGCTGTAAATGGATCGGAAACAGAATAAGAGAAGAAGAAGGAGACCTAAATCCAGAATCGCGAAGCAAAATCGCACTTCCATATACAACAGCGAACGGAAATTAAAGATTGTAAACACAAATCAAGCACTACGAAACGAACAACGGAATCTGAAGAATCAAACCTCAAGAATAGGAGGCGCCGAAGAGGGAGCGGAAGAGTCGAGAGAAGGCGATGCGAAACCGAGGAAAAAGTGTAAGCGTATGGATGGCAGTGTGACGAAGAAGATCCTCTAGGGTTTCGACGAAGAGATTGAGGCTCCGAACCGGCGGCACATAGAGCGCCAGTGGCACTGCCGAGAAAGCGACTGCGAAGAACAGCTGAAGCATTGGAGCGGCTGCGTAGACTGAGAAGAAGAAGAAGATCAAAGATGAACAAAATTGGATTAATAGAAAACTCAAAAGTGAGGGAACGAAGGGGATCAATCATGTGAATCGGTGTTTATCCATAGAAATTTGAAGTCCGTGGAGACAGAGGGAGAAGATATTTTTCTAATTTACAGACAGGGTTTTGGTCAATTTTATCCGACTCTTTTTCTTTCTTTTTTTTTTTATTTAATTTTTAAGGAAAGAAATATCTGACTTAAAACAAGATCTAAAAGCCACCAACCAAGGGAGGAAAGCCATAAAGACGTGGCTATAGAGGAGACCTCATGTTTGGCCAGCAGATGATGAGTTGGATTGGATTGTTACAACTTACAAGCATGTGGAGGAACGGAGATCGGGTCAGTACTCGCTTTTCAATGCCAACCGTGAAATATGTCCCCACCTCCCATGTTTTTTAAGAATTTATTTAATTACTCATTCTCACTTTATCGCTACTTCTTTTCTTTTTTCTTTGTATTTATCATCTTCTTCTCTCTCCCTATTTTTCATCCACTCACTCCCTCCTCTCTCTCTCTCTCTTCCCCCATCTTTTCCTTCTTTCCCTCCCCTTCTCTCTATTCAATTATTAATTATT